TAGTCGTGTATTCCAACTACGACATGAAACGCACCTTTGCACCGCTATCTATATGAATGCGAACTTAGCAGTCAACGTACTGGCTAACTGGTGCAAAATGGTAATTATAATTATTTTCATTGCTGGTGCTATTAGCGGAAATTGGTGTCTTTGCGAGAGAAATGCATTGACGCGACTATAATGTCTGGCCCCTCGACGTGGACAGCGCGTGTTTATCCCGCGTATCGTGTTTCTGAACGATGACGAGGATAAAGAAATTCCGTTTATCCTTTGACGTAAGCAGTTCCCGGTAGTACCAGCGTTTGCGATAACGATTAACAAGGCGCAAGGTCAGTCAATTCACCACGTAGGTATCTACCTGGAAACACCTATATTCGCACACGGACAGCTATATATTGCCCTATCTCGAGTAACATCCAGAAAGTCGATCAAGATAGCCATCGATCCGAGAGACTTTGTTGACGGCGCTGTGTATTCCAGTTATTCCAATTGTAGTGTCCAAGAAAGAAAACGCTTACTCTAGATGCACCGCCGAGTAGTTGTAGTAGACTGTGTTCAAAAATTCGGCGTGACAGTACGGGAACTGTGCGCCGTTCTATGTGGGGGCAAACAGTGCCTTACCAGCCGTGTACATGATGTAGCACGTCACAATAACAGTACCAGCCGCTACCTTCTTGTAGATAGCAATGCGTTCCCACGTCTTAATGCGGTAGAAGACAGTCGGGAGCAAGATACTGTTCATGGCGATGCAGGAGGCTCCCACAAGTCGGCGAACTCGGTGAAAAAATGATCCTTGAAAACGAAGGCGATGACCACTGGGACGACGACGATGATGATACGCAGAATCACCGACAACGCGTCAATGATGTAAGTTAAATCCTCTCCATCCCGTCCAACGTGACTTAGAAAAGTTTCAGCATTGCTACGAGTTGTGGCGAATAGGAACACAATCATACTTGTCACTAAAATCTGTGCCGTATTAATCGCGATGTCACACGACAGCTCCTTCATCGGGTATGCCGTTGAATGCAGCGGAGCAAGTAAGTCTGGCCATTTCATAATGGCCCGCCACATATTTGCCCAGCAGCCACCACCGATGTGCAAGCGATTCATAGCTCAGTTATTCGCGTGTTTAACCCTCTCAATAATTAATATATAGCCTACGCCGAAACCGAGCTATGCGTGGTAAAGTACGCTCTTGATCGACTTAGCTTGCCTAAAGAGCCCCCACGTTTGCGTGATTGAGTTGGTTAGTAAATCTGTACTTGTTGAGATCAAA